ATATATATCACACAATATTTTAAATTTATATTTCTGCACAATGAATACAGCTGCCTCTATAAATGTCCTATTCTAAATAAGCCCTGAGTACTTTTAAAGCACATTAAAAAATTTAATTCATATTTTGCAACAAGGGATCAGCTAATGAGAAAGTGTTACACATTTATGGGGAAAATTGTTTTCAAGTCATACTCCACACTGCCTTTTTATATAGTGCAGCCAGGAACTTGTTTGAAACATAACACATAGTAACAATCAATATAATTAGAAAATGTGAAAAGAAGCTTGATCTCATCTATTTCAATTGTTCAGCAAATGATTCTGTTTAGCTTGGTGTGGAAGACTTCGGGATTGTAAGTCTGTGCATATATATTTTGTAAATGTTCAAATTTCAGCTAATATACTGAAGATGAAAGTAGTATGATCAAAAAGATAAAGTGCAATTCACAGTAATAGTGCATTAATCTAATACAAAAAAATCTGGACTAATCCATTTCCTCCCAGAAACCTACTTCAAGAAAAGTTGCTTACTGAGAAGATAGTCAGATAGAAAAAGAAAGCTGTAACAAAGGGGCAGAGAACATGTAGAAGGAACAACTTCAGCTGTTGAGTGGATCCAAAGAGCCTGAGAAATTTTTATTAGCTATTTCTTTAACCAACATGCAGTAGCAAAACTGCTTTCATTTTCTATGGCAGGTTTTAGACGGAAAAGGTTGATTTAACAAGCAGTATTTATGCAAATAATCCAGTTTTTCCCTACTTTTTTTATTTTCTGAGATCGTGCAGCAGACAGAAAGACAAGTGAATTTATTTTTCAAATAAGAAGTGAGGTTCCCAATCATTAACCGGTGCCATAGCTGCTGTAGTCAAATACACCTTTCTTAAAGAATGAGGAAAATTCACAAATGTCATGTTTGGACAGGATCAAGCCCTCTTTATTTACATATAGTGGAGATGATGGAGAATTAAGCATTGCATCAAAGAAGTCTCTGAGGTATTTCTGGAAAAGAAAAGAAAACCAGGACAAAGTTATATTATGTAAAATCGCTTTTACTTGAAACACTAGAAAATTAGGACAGAAATGTAACACCTTTATATGTGAATTGGCTGCAAAATCTAGAAAACACCAGAGTTACAACTAGAGTGCAGCTAGTTCTATGAGCCTACAAGCTTTCTTTTTTTTTCAAAAGCAGTGCAAGACCTCCTTCTGTTCCTGAAACTAAGTGAAATCTGCAGTGCAGTTTGTGATATGAAGTGTGTGCTTATGGGTATGGGGTCAACGATTCAAAGAAACACAATTGGTGAGGCCTCTTTGCTTTTGTCTAAACAGCAGAGCTGTACAGAGCCTTGGATTCAGTCTCCAAAGAGTGCTTGGGAGTGTGCAGGAGCATGGATGCAATTGCTGTGCAATCTCAGGAAAACACATATAAAGATGCTGCAGATAGATACTATGCAGACATTCTCTGCACTCTGAAGCACTTTTTGGAGGTTGATTCTGAAGTGCTGCAGAGTCCTACATAACAGGTCACTGAGTATTATTACATATTAGTATATGCTAGAACATCCTGGCAAATAAGGGCCAAATTACACATAATGTGAAGAATCTACAATGAAGGTCAACTATAATTGAACCAATTCAGCTAGCCCTAGCCCTTGTTGGTCTTCTAGAAGCTATGAACAATCAGGTTGTTCTACAGGACGTTTGGGGAATGAATGGGCACCACTGTGTCTATGGCATTACTGTGTCTTTGACTGATTAATTATTTTGATTTTATGCTTTTTATTAAGTTTTAGTTTTTTATGTTGTAAGCTGCCAAGAGTTGTTCTGGGAGTCTGGGGGGTGGGTGAGGGTGGGGGTATAAAAATAAAACAAAACAAAATAAAATAAAATAAAAAAACACAAAATAAAAGATAACCCAACAAAAACTTACAGGACACATAAAGAGTATCAGCTCTGTTATGTTAGCTATTACTTTTTGACTAACAGGAAACAGGATGCAATGGTGGCAAAATTAATTGGGAAAAATTGTGTAGGGGAAAAGTGATACTTCTGTCTCCCATCACCATGCTCTTAATCTAATTTGTACTCCCCTCATGACTTTAAGGAAATCATAAAAATATTTATTTTTTAAAAAGCACAATAGATAACAATTCATAACCTAGAAAGATAAATTACCTACTATAATAAAAATATATAATTCTTCTTGATTTGTTTTCTGAAAGTCATCTGAACTTCAATGAGGCGTCAACTTAACTAACTTAATATTTTGAATGTGACTAAAACACAATAATTATATATTTTTATTCTGTCCCCAACAAATCAATTATGTCCACACAGAAATACAGTTTCATATTTGGTATGGTAATTTACAGAGCATTTTTTAAAAAAGAATATTCTTATTTATGTTCTATAGAGGTCCATGTGTAATCTCAATGGATTTAACTAGTACAGTTTTGTTTATTTGTTAAATTGGTTACAGTATCACCCATATATAAACAACTAGAATTTTGTTAAAATACTGATGTAGATCTAAATTGCTTTATTGTATCTTATTTCTAGTGTATAAAGATTTAAGGCTGAGGCAAAATAAGATAATAGTAATAGTGCTGCCAAATATCTCTAAAAATTGTAAACTTAAAAAACAAAAACACAGTATTGATGTTCAGAGGCATTTAGAAAAAAAATTAATATGCTTTTCCATTTCTGTATAACAGGACCAAAATTAAATTCCCATGGCATATCTAAATATATGTGTGTGTTTTACAAAGGTAAGTAGGTCAAATACCTGTTGCTTCTCAATGTGTTTACATTTTAAGTGCTACATTTATTAAATATTAAGAAATGTTTGCATGTGAAACTTGTTTGATTCAGATGTAGGTACTTTTCAATAACTTCAGATAATCTTGCAACTAAGACAAATCTAAGGTTTTATGACCATAAAAAAATATAAATCTATAGAATTATACACATTTAAGAGTTGCTTTTAATAGAATCCTTCAATTACTAGGAAATTGTCCTTGTCACCTGTACTTTTCTCATGGTAATTGACAGAAGTTAGTAGGCACTTTCATACCACCTGTAGTATTTAGAGAAGCTGTCTTTTAAACATATTGAATTATTTGTAGAATTTAATATTTGTATTTATATACTATCCTCTAAGTACTAATTTACTTTAAAGACAGTGCTATGTTGTGTGAAGGAGAGTGTGAGAGAGTACAGTATTTCATAATTTCTAAAGTATTTTTTTAGCAGAGCTATTAAAATCCTATCTAATACTTCATTAATAAAGTACAATCTTATCCTATTCTGAATCTTTAAACTAATTACATTCCAATCTTATCTCCATACAAAATGTATCTGTGTTGTTGGTAAATAAGGTATTCCTGAAGATGTTAGGAATTTCTGGTTTCTTTACGGTACATCACATTTCCTCCTCCTCCTCCTTTTACTATATCTATACCAGGTGTAAGAAAATATCCTAAATTACAAATTAGGAGTTTCAAACACTGTAGTTTGCAGGATGCTGGAAAATTAACCAGAGATTATAAAAGATTCCAAGTCCACAGCAAGTGCTTATCAGAACTTTTCCTGAATATCACTTATTAACAGATGTCAGAAATCTGTTTCTCTGTCATAATAAAAACTCATATGATACTCTTTTCTTGCTATTGCTATTATGTTATAGGTAACTTTGTGTATTATGGAAAACCAATTGCTTTTATATTAATATCTAAAGATGGAGCTTGGACATCATCCTTGAGATACATACACAAATTCTAGATACAAGAGTCAGATCACACATCTTAGAACTGGGAGGTGCTACACTTTCCCCTCTAAAAGTTAGAGAAGTACTTTGTGCATCACTGGATGCCTATTATAGCTTTCTGTACCTGTCTTAGAAAGATAATAATAAACAAATTAAGAATAATAACCACCCCCCTCCCCACTGGAAATCTCAGTTTTAACCAGGTAACAAATAAGAAAGTTAGGAACATAAGAAATGATAAACTGTCACAACAAAGTATGTATTGAACCCTTAGTGAAAACATTATGATATCTGAGTGTGATTAATGAAAGTGCATGGATTGTCCACATGCATGATGGCAATAAAACATATATGAGGGATAGCATCTGATGAAGGGCTGGCATCCCTAAATCCAAAGGAAAGATCAAATGTAGTAATTGGTAGGGAAATCTTATCTATAGTAAAAGGATGAAGGCTTGCTCAGCTGCAGTGCATTAAAAGTAACAAACTTGCTATCCCCAAGACATCGACAGAGACAGGAGAATCTAGTAAGTACAATATATTTTGAAAGGTATACATATTTTGAGAGGTAAGTGAAAGATCACATTTGAGAAATGTCTCCCTAACAGCTCCCATTTCCAGGCGGAACTTCTTTAGATAAACACGTATGCCAACATTACTAACATATTTAAAAAATAATTATAGTAATTCTGTCCAGTGCTGGATTACCATAAAGTTCATGCATATATTTTTTGGTATCTTTTATTGATGCCTCCCATAGACTGAATTAACATTTAAACTATCATTAAAACAAAATCCAATAAAACAAATGCCAAATAACAAGACGTCTAAATTGGGGAACAGCGGTTATATAAACATTACTTTTAATCAATAGAAAAGGTAAGGTCTCTTCCCTTGCCCTTGCAAAAGGCACTATAGTTGGACTTAAATTAGGAATGCTTGCAGATTATGGATTAGATCCAGCAAAAAACACCTTCCACTTATAGAACTTTTGATCCAGTTGAGCTTTTCTATTGTTGAATTAGAAAATATCATCTTTTCTGATGCCCACCCTTCTGTGCAAATTGATTATTGATTATGTGCTATTAAGTTGGCGTCGGCTCTTAGTGAGCACATAGATGTTCTCCATGACAATCTGCCTCTAACCTCATCTTCCAACAGTGCATTCATTGCCACTGTAACTAAGTCCATGCTGCTGGTTGTCCTCTTCTTCTCTTTCCTTCCACCTGTCCCAGCATTAGAGCCTTCTCCAGAAAGCTAAGTCTTCACATAATGTGTCCGAAGTAGGATAATTTGAGCATAGTCATTTGTGCCTGAACGTGTAATTTGACAGTCTGAATATGTCATTCTGGTCTGAATATGTCACTTGACAGATCTGCACTTCCTTAATAAATGGTCTGAAAGCCTTGGAGACCCAACACATGTTGATTCTTGAATACGTTTGATATCTAGTTGAAGAAAAAAAAACCCTGTGTGATCTCTTACTTGTGGATTTTTTAGTCTCCAAGCATCCATTCAGTTATGTGTCCATATACTGGAAAGCCTTTCAGGAGCTTTCCTTCTTTTTTCCCTTGAACTGATTTGTTGAAATTCAAATCTAACACTCCATTCATGTCTCCTATGATTATTATTCCCCCCTCTGCCATTTCTATTAGCATATGGAAGAATCTTTCATAGAATTGTTCTTTGTCTCTATTTTGGCCATTGTTAAAACTATGCCTTTTTTTCTTAGCTTCCGCACTAGAATTTTTCCTTCTTTATCCTTTAGTTTTTCCAATACTTCCCAGGAAGGTTATTTAACATAAATTTCTACTCCTGTTCTGTTCTGTTTATATTGTTCATTTCCTGATACTATGTATTCTTGACTTAACCTTTTCTGATTTAACAAATTGACATGGTCTTGTTTTATGTGTGTTTCTCCTAAACAGACAATATCAGCTTTATGTGTTCAAAGCTTGTTGAAATTTATCCTTCTTTTTATTAGGTTTTTTTTTTAAAAAAAAAATCTGCACTCAGTTGTTACCGACTCTGTAGTGACTGCTTTTGGACGAGTCCTTTTGCAGTTTTTAAGGCAAGGTGTTTCGGAAATGGTTGCCTCCTTCCTAGAGCAGATCCCAGCTGGCGAGCGCAGGAGGCGGGGTTTCCGTTGCTTCGCGCCTTTTTCGGGCGAGTGCAGCTTCCACGCTACCGGCAATTGCTCCAGACTCCTTTTGAAGGGCGCCGCCAGCATTTT